CATATTACATGCCTTTGCGAGGAAAACAAAAGTATCAAGTTACAAAGTTGGCGTGAAGAGCTAAATTGTCACGTTTGCTGCTTCAGTGTATTATTGAATTTAAAATGAACGAAAATGAACGTAAAACACCAGTAGTAATTAATTTGTGCGTGATTTTTGGACCTTGAATGAAAATACAACCTTGAAACATACACACTGCAAAGGGGAAAAGCTGTAGCAGACTACCAAGGTAGACACAAACCGGAAGTGAACCGAGCAGGGGTGAGTACTTATGGGACTACTGTACCAGAGCTATCAATTGCACTCTGCACTATCTGAGATTGTCTCACTAGTTAATTTACTGGTAATGCTTTAAAACATCGTAATAAAATTCAAAACAATGAAATCTATATGGGGGCTTATAACTGGATGCATTTTCCGCCTATAACTGGGAGAGCTTATAAGCAGCTGGGGGCTTACAAGCAACAGTTTATGGTATAGCTTTTTCAAGCAGACCTGACGAAATTAGTCAGATGAGATCTTCAACAAACTGAAAGGCATGCTATAATGTACATGTATGTGCCAACAAATTCTCAGACAAACGACAAAAACTGTACAGTAACTTGTACACTTGTAGGAGAATTGAAAATGCTTCAGTATAGAGTTTGAATTGAAAGCTGGAGTGGTGATTGAGTAGCTGTTCTTGTAGACAAATTTGTTTGAAGCTTAAGAATAACATCATGCTGGAATTTCTGTCTATTTCAGCATACATTAAGCTTATCCCTACAAAGAACCCTTACAGGATCTTATAAGGATAGGGTCTCTTTGACACATTAATTACTAACGTCAGGATTGAACAAAGAAGTTTAGTTAGTTAAGATCTTCGATGAGGAATTTTAACATGATCTTACAATGAATTCGTAAATGAAGGATCATTGCAGAAATCCTAAGAAAAACAAACAAAATTTGTTGTGTGTAATATTCTTGAAAATAGTTCGGAATTACACGATTGTCAAAGATCCTCAATTTTTTTTTTCTTGAGAGAAGTGACACATTTAAGTACAAGCTATATATTAACCCATTGACTCCCGGAGCTTTTTGCCATTTGCAATGTGACAGCTTGCCTTTCTTTCCACTAGCATCACGTTTTACGACAGTTTTGCTCGGGCATGAGCAGAAATCAAAATTTTGAGAGAGCTTTTGGACAAGAAAGTGACTTATGTCTTTAGGCTATTCAGTTTTTATAATTTTTTTCACCTTTCCTTTTTCTCCTTTTCTTATCTTTTTGCTGCAGTGATTGACCTTCTACTGGGTTTGCTTCCATTTCAAAAATTTCTGAGAAAGCATCATCGAGACGGTCAATTTTTACCACAGAGTAGCTAAGTGTAGTCACAGGAAATTTTGCTCTGAGTTTTTCACTCAAATTTCTGAGCATTTTTTAGCATACTTCAGGCTCTGGGCATCATCAGAAAGATCTTTTCCTTACACACAACTTGAGTATAGATGATGCCAATTAGAAATGTAACTACCATTGGAAAGAAGCTAACATGAAGGTAGCAATAAAATTTCACAGTTGATTGTAAATCCTGAAAGTACCCTGCTCCCCACAAAAAAAACATTCTATGAAAGAGAACCTCCTATCAACAAATAGCTAAGAACTTAATTTAACCCACAAACTGACTTCTTCAAAATTCACAACAAAGCAAAAACCAAAAAATACCTTAGAGACAAGTTTGATTGGTCTTTATATGATGTACGTAGCTGGCAGGCTTAACTACTCAAAAGGAGACTGTTGGAATATACTGCAAATGCTATTAATTCTATTCACCTGAAGTAAATTGATGCTGTAAACCACAAACCACAGCGACAAAGCTACAGAGAAGTAGTGTATCAACACCCCTTGAGCAGTGCAAAATGTTGTGGGGTTCAACTGAACCTCAGAGTAAAACTTACTGCTGCAGAAGGCCTTTTCTCTTCCCATACCATTAGCTACAGCGAGCAGGAAAGCTGAAGATAAAATAATCAATTAATAACTAAAGCGACAAACTTAACAACTCCAAAGGCTGGTTTTCACTAGTATAGACAACTGAGTTGTAATCAGAAGTGTAAAGTGATACATATAGTGAAAATCAATTGAAAATGATGATCAAGTCACAAGCAGAATACCAAGAGAATCCTGCCTCTCATTGCTCACAGAGTGATAGGGTATTTCTTCTTGTATTTGTCCCCCAGGGAAACTCCCATGTGTGTAACGTCTTGAGTATGCTATAAGACAACGAACACTTAGATCCGTAAGACATAGAACTTTAATGGCGTCTCCAAGAACTACAAAAGCGGAAAGCATGGTTCGTGCACTCATGCATGACACCACGTCACTATGACGTATAATCGTTAAGCGGAAGTGAAATAAACAAGATATGCGACATCTCCCCTCCTAAGGATAATAGTAAGAAATAATACAAAGAAATAGTTGCTAATAAAGAGCACAGAAAACCAATGTCTTTGTCCTTATTAATGAAAACTCACACGACAAATCCGGGAACTAAGTGTCTCTGTCCTTATTAATATCACACGACAAATCCAGAATCAAGTGTCACTGTCCTTAAAAATCTCACACAACAAATCCGGAAATAAGTGTCTCTGTCCATGTAAGTCTCGCGACATTGTCCTAGTCCTTAAATCGGGAAGGTGTCTTGACGACACGCCCNGTTGTTTACGGCTGAAGAACTTGAAATTTCTCTAGGGAGAAATACACAGACAGCGTAGGAAGCTCAGTGTTTCCAAGGAAGTCGCCGTTAAACGATCCGAAATACTTCTGACACCATGTAACGTCTTGAGTACGCTATAAGACGACGAACACTTAGATCCGTAAGACATAGAGCTTTAATGGCATCTCCAAGAACTACAAAAGTGGAAAGTATGGTTCGTGCACTCATGCATGACACCACGTCACTATGACATATAATCGTTAAGCGGAAGTGAAATAAACAAGATACGCGACATTGTGAAAAGGTCAGGGATGCTTGTCAAAAAATTGAATTAAACTACTAAGGGAGACCAATCTGGGTGTGGCTCAATTTGACCCCTTAAGATACCACTTTAAAACAGACATGCAATACTTTTTAAGATTTCTTCCATTGTCCCTTTAGAACACATATTTAACTGAGTTCCACCGTATATCAGAAAGGCTAGCCGCCCATAACATTTGTTGATGTTTGCAATAAGAACAATAGTGAAAATTTAAACTTACCAATGGCTGATTGTAAGCCTTGAATGTACAATGGAATTATATGAGGAAAACGCCGCCTGCAACAAAATAAAACTTAGCTTTTCAGTCAGAAAATTGCTTGTAAAAGCATCAACCATTAAGCGACATTTTGTCCTGGATAAACAGACAAGTACATGTATCTCTTTCTACAGAACTTCAGTGATGTCACAGATTGAACCCAAAAATATCACAAAATTTAGAAAATAAATCTTGTCAATTGATTTTGCAAGACCACAACAGAAGACAAAGGTACATGTGGTTGGAACACTGGCAAAAGACGATGCAAACACAGTAACTTCATACTTGAACTTGGCTGTAAATATCGCATGAAAGTGTCTTTGAAGATCCTCCTTGAAGCACCCTTCATAAATAAAGAATTTTTGGTACAACCAACATTACCAAGGAGTCAATCCCCATAGACTCTAGATCTTAACTTTTTAATTCTTTAAAGCAGTGACTATTTCAAGCCCTGTATTTACCTTTTTTTGTAACAAATGACAAGAATGAGAAGAATTGTTTTATACTCCAATATCAAGACTACTACTTAAAGTAAATGGCCATTAAACTCACAGCTGTTTGATCCTGATCCAAGTGGCAAGGATTATGATAAAACCCAACAAGCTCACAGAAATAGATAAGTTGTCCACCACTTCCATGGCAAAGTCCTCAGCAGAGGTTAATGTCACCCACGGACATGGAGGTTCACACATCTTTGTTTTTTTGTTTAATATAAGAGGATGGCTACACGGGTAGTGAGGCACTGGCATAGTTTGATTGCTGATAGAGGAGAAAAATAAAACTAGGATAACAGATCTGATGGAAACTGTGTTTGTTCTCAAGCTAAGTCTAATGATCTTAGATTTGAGCAAACGGGTTCACTGTTGCAGGGTTTTCTTCATTTCAGATTTGGAGGGCTCATAATATTTTTTGAGGAGGGATGAGGGTGTGTCTATGTGTTTGTGTCTGTGGGGGAAATGGAAAGAGAGCTTCAAACATGGCACGTACATAGGCTTTGAAGGCCCTTCGTATTTAGCCACAATGTCACAAAAGAACAGGATTTTCCTATGATGGGTAATGTTTACTATGGGTAGTGTTGGTGGACACTAACCATCCATATATTGACCGATGCTTAGTCAAGACGTTGGCCACGTATCAGCCGAGTGTTGAAAGATACACCGCCAATACATCAACCGACAGTCAGTTGAGTGTCAGTTGAGAGTCGGATGGGCATCGGCCAATACGTCAGCCGATATGTATGTCAAGATAATTTGGTTTCATCAGCTGGGTTGATAATGTGAATTGGCCACTGCAAAGAGATTCGAAAGTTGATGTTTCGAGCGCTAGCCCTTCGTCTAAGCGAATCCGGAGGGCTAGCACTCGAAACGTCAGCTTTCAAATCTCTTTATGGGGGCCAATTCACATTATCAACCCAGTTGATAAAACCAAATTATCTTGTTATACTCCCCTCCAACGCAGCACCACAGTTTCTTTAGAAACTTATCCCCTCGATATGTATGTCAGTTGAGTATGGCTGACATATCGACCAACAGTCCCTCCCACATGGTATCAAATTCTCTATCCCAATAACAACCACTGATGTTGATATTCCACCTCCCTAAGCACATCAATGATTCAAATGCCTGACGTCCCTTTTTGAGACCCCATTTGGGGAGAGGGGAAGGGGGTTTGAGTGTCCCATATTCTGTTTATTTTTGGCCAAAATATCCCATATCCCTTTTAATTTAACTTTTCTACTTATTCCATTAATTTAGACCTCTCCAATTAACCTACTCAACAGAGTGAATTCGTATAACCCATTCCTTATAAGCTAATAAGGCACATAATATTTTAATGACCAGTTTGGGTACGTATGAAATTGTTTTGCCGTTGGAATGTACTGGTCTGTTTAAAATCTGAACCACAATATTCTTTGCAAGGGAAAAAACAATGAAGGTGCACGAAATACATGTTGTACTTTTGAATATTCTTGCCATTTTTCTGACGTAACATTACATTATATGGCCGCCTTTCTGACGCCTGTGGCTGAGAAACACTCACACCGGTACTTGCACGCCACAATGCAAGCATCGAAAGAAAACAATATCTCAAAAGCTAATTGTTATTTTGAATAAATGTCCATAATTAGGAATTTGAAGCGCTAGGAGAGTTTTCTTTTCTATTCAACCTTAAATTCCCAAAATTTAGAAATGGGAACAAATGGTACGGATGTATTTCCTGGGAATTTATTCAACCAAAAGTACCGGAAGGAAAATCAAATTTAGGACGACATTCCCAGTGAGAAATTTTCAAAAATTTGGATACACCTCGCAAGGTTGTTCTTGTGTTCCTAAATTCCAGAAATGCTCTTCCATTCGTCAATGGAAATTTCCAGAAATTCAAACCAGAATTTTTCACCGAATGGAAAGTGCCATAACTTGGTTTCAGTTTGGTGCGTGCTTTTTTAATTGTTTTCCTCATTTGCCATTTAGTGATTCTCATTAGCATATAAAAAACGGTGATACAAATTCACTCTAATTACAAAATTAAGTTGATCTAGATTGAAGTAACATAATGAAATTCACCAACTGACAAACTGATTGATAGGTTGATTGACTGACTGTTTTCGAGGAAAACATCTCCCTTGAAGTACTCTTAAAAGATCAAAATTATCCCTGCATCCTCACAAAAGTACACTCTCTATAAACACAGTTCACGTTTGTAGAAATCGTGCAAAGAAATATTAGCTCTTAGCCTCACCTCATGTTTATGTGTGGAGCTGGCAGTTTGTTCCCGTAAAAAATGGTAGGAAGCAAAGAAACGCCCCAAATAAGAAGCAAACTCGTAATTATTACCGAGCCAAGAAGACAACGATTTCTCTCATGGTGTATGAGAGGTTTCTGGCCGCCCGAGGATGATAAAGACGAGTCAATCATGTCTTTTTCCTCGCTGTTTACTGCTGGACCATCAGACATTTTGCACGCTATTTCAAAGTGATCAAGACCTGGGTGAAATACGATACGGTCAGTAAATACCCGGCCGTGAAAAAGTGAAAAGCAACACATGCAAGCTTATATATTGGAGATTTTCTTTCGACACAAAGAAATATAGATTACAGAAAAGGAAACTAGCATCAAAGATTTTCCAGATTCATTTAGTCTACAGCTAAGCCTAGATATTAGCTACAAGCAGCTTCGATGAAATGAAAAGACAATTTGTGTTTTGGACTGGGTCAAAACACGCAACGCAAAATTTCTAAATTTTGGAAATAGTGAATCGCTATCATGCAGGTTACACTGGAGACTCTTTCTAATTCATTGAGTTCACGTACCTGTTCTGATTTGAAGCGAGATCCACCAACAGGACAACTCTGTCAGATATCAACAAGTTACCCCCGGATGATCGCAATGAATGACTGGGCTAGAATAAAATGGTGACATTTCGTTCAACATAAATGAAGTAGAGGCTCACTTGGCGCCATATTTGAACTCCGAACGACAGACCGATCAACGACAGTAGAACTGACAGTCCCGATCAACGAGATCGCACGACAAATCCTTGACTATTTTGTGGTAGCCTACGCTCTTCTTAATTATTCCAAATCTTATAAGTATGGTACAAGAATTTATTATCCTCAGGTGTTTTTCCTGCATGACTTTTCAGGTCCATCAAGTAAGTATTCATTTGCCAACGAGCGGACCAAAATTTCCCGGTGATTTGGAGATGCCGATGGTTGCGATATCTATAGTGTTCGTTACCATTTCTTTAGGGATTTTCGCAATGTAAGCTTGAAATAAAGCTTAAGCTTAACGGGGATTTCTTTTAGAAAAAAAGAAGCATTTTTGGTGTCCGACAAATGTTAAAGCTTTTTGCTTTTTGTAAATAGGATTTAAGCTTAAGTTAAGTTTATATTTTGCATTAATTTTATCCTGAGTATCTGTGAGTATTCAAATAGTGATCACTGGCTAATCTGCTTTACGACTTTTTTGAAAGGTAAAGAAGAGTAAAAAATGGGCATGCAAAGTTTGTGGAGAGAAGCAGTCAGTCAAAAAAGTTTATGCCCAAGGCAGTGGTCTGGACTGCCGTAAACATGTCCAGAAATTAAATATGAAGTGCGGAGAAGCACAAAAGGCAGAAAACTTGGCTTATGGCAGTACTGAAAGTGCTGACTTCTGCAAATGTTCAGAGAAAACCAATATTATAGGCAGTGTTGACAACAGCCAAATCACAAATCATGGGGATAACACGGGATTGAGCAAATGGGAGAAGTTCTTAGAGCTCAATTCTAGTGATGATAATGGTAAGTTCAGATTATTAAATTTCATGACGACTAAATGATAAAATGCAAAGCGTTCTTAAAATTTGTCTTTAACTCCTGACCCCATCCCTCTCCCTTCTTTAAACCCCAAAATACCCTCCATGCCTGGTTTACTGGGTCATGCGAGTATTGCTTTTTTTAGTAAGTGTCCTGCAAGTTGACGAAACTCTGACTAGCAAATTCAGAGGTTTCAAACAGTACCCTTAAAAAAACACCAAGTGCTACAACATAGTGACCAAGTTTGTCCCCAATGATTTGCTGTAAAATTTCAGTCAAGCTCTTCCCTACCCTGCCAGCAGGGTCGCTTCAATCATTCCTTATTTAGGAAAGATCAAAGCAACTCTGCTCACAGGGAAGCCCTCTCCCTTCCCCATGAAAATTTGCTCACCCAAACATAAGTTAATCAAAAAAGCCAACTGACCCAAAATTAACTTAGGGCTTACAATCATTAATTTCATCACGATCATCACCATCATCATAACCATCAGTTCTTATCGTGCCGTGGGATGTTTAAGCTCTCAATAAATTTGATGGCACAGATAAACCTGATAGAGAGTGCAATGTCTGTGTACTCACAGAAGTCTGAAAATAATCACCAAATTTTCCTGGGAGGGGGGGGGGGGAATCCCATATAAAAAGGGTGAGGGTGCTTCTTGGAAATTTTGAAAAGAATCCCTCGGAGACCTGTACCAAGATCCTGTTTTGTGGGCATGGCCTCAGAAATTTTTTCAGCCCCAAAGAGGTAACAAGTCTAAGGGTGCATTCCTTTGGGATGATCTGGATCAGGATCAGTGATTCAAGATCACTCGGATCATGGTGCATCAAAGGAACCAATGAATCCACTCTGGTCATGGATTCATCGGTTCCTTTGATGAACTACGATCCGAGTGATCTTAGATCACCGATCCTGATCCAGATCATCTCAAAGGAATGTACCCTTAAACAACACATAATTTCCTGTAATTTTGTTTCTGCTCAAGACCCTGCAAGGTACTATGAAAGTTCCAGCTGTGGACCTTTTGAGGCTAAACATCCTAAGCAGTACCAAAACTGCTTTTTTAACCGCTAAAAGGTACATGCACAATGAGCACCCCTGTCCTTTTCATATGGGAGTTCTCCCTAAGCAAATGTTAAGATCTATTATCATATAAAAGTCAGTGGTATACCGAGTGGTAACAAATTGATAAAAACAATATGATATCCTCACATGTGAAGATATCATGTTTGATAACATTTCTCTTTTGTCCCTTTAACTCCACTTAAATTTGTTGGTGTATGATTGAAACATCTTTGGATCTTCTTGGGCAATCTTCGGTAATCTTCGGAAAATGTTCGGAAATGTTCGGAATATGCTTGGAAACGTTCGTCTGGCCTTCAGAACAATTTTGTAAAATCTTTGAAAATCTTCAGAAAGTGGTCGGAAATCTTCGGAAAATCATCAAAAACAGCGTCATCAGCATGTCTATATAATAAAAAGTACATTACACGTTAGCTTGAAGATATGAATTTTATGTTCTTGTGACAAAAACAATATCTCACTCGTTCGCTGCACCCACTTGTGAGATATAGTTCTCGCCACTCGAACATAAAATTCATATCTTCTCACCACCGAGTAATATCCTCTATTTGTTTTGCTGTATTTCTATAGGTTTAGATTATTTCAATGGCTTCAATGTGACAACAGAAAGGGATGTATTTGATAAAGCTTCATCAAGAGGAAAGAGAAAATGGCATTTTGGTAGATCAAGCACCTATCCTACGGGAAAAAGATCTAAAAACAACAATAAAAAGGAACAAGGCAGTATTACTGATACAGACTGGTTAAATATCAATAATGCTACTGAAAAAACTCAACATCATTCTCAGAAACAATTTTACTCAGATACAGGGATGCAAAAGCCCTCACCTTATACTCTTGGATGTTACGATGTAGCATCTAAGGAATGCCATTATATATATCCATCTCATAGCGGCGGAGTGCTCCCTTATAGAAATTTATGGTCAAATACCCAAACTAGCCATGCCAAATGCAATATTTATTTTGCTAAAGCTACCCGAGATCCCACCCCATTAAAGATGTCGAGTTTTGTGGGTGGTACACAAGAGAAGCCTTCTCTCAGTTCATCAAAATGGGCAAAGTTTATGCCTAGCCCCTCAGTACAAAACCAATCTTGTGTCACCCTGGCAGAGAACTCTCTCTCATGTTCCGTCACACCAGATAATAAATACAATGACAACAGTGGACGTGATGGTGATTTAGGTGAGCAAGGGAGTAAAAGCCAAGACAGACAGTGCAACTCTCTGCAGGTTCAAGATTTGTTTAAAGTTGATGATGACCTAGACGAGGAGTGGTGGAATTCCATGTGAATGAAGCCAATAACAATTAAATTTAAACATATTGATTGTTTTATTTCACATTTTAGAACTTTCAAATGTGCTGTATTATTGGAATAGCATTTACAGATAACTCTTACCTTCTTTTAATAGTAAAATTTCATTGACGAGTATGTTAGAAAACATTGTTTGTGTGTGCACTGATAGCCCAAGAACAAGATAAGGTCAAGTGAAAATGAATGCCAATACAAACCTAAGGACGATTTTTTCTCATTCAAACATATTCCAAACATAGAAGATTGCCATGTGTTTATGCTGTGTCATGTTTTCACATGGCATGTGGTGAGTGTAAGGCTTAGCGTGAATGCAAGCCCAAGGAAAGGAAAAATTTTGATTCTTGAGCTTGCACTTGTGCAAGGGCTCTATATGCTTGAGATGGTTTTGCCTTGCTAGTGAAAACCAGGTTATTCATATCACAATGTTTCCAACTCAAACATAGGGGAAAAGAAGTTCTCAAGTAAAAATTGAGTTTCTGACTATGTAGTGACCAGTGTAATTATTCAGGAAGCATCGTACCTCCTGGAGGTTTGGAGAAGCCTCAGTCTGGTCAGAGCGTATCAATGTGATACAAAGAGCTTATCAATGTGTACAAATTGTGCAGAAACAAGAGTATGTCCAAATAGAAGGGTGCTTGTATCCATCCTTGCAGACCCTGCAGGGGCTGCTAGTTGGGACGATGTGATATTTTTGGGTGAGCGATATTTTTGGGCGAAAGTTTACTTCAAGAGCAGAGGAGCCCCGCTCTTGAAGTAAATTTTTGCCCGAAAGTATCTCTTGCCCAAAATATCGCTTTGTTTCGACAAGCAGCCCCTGGGTCTCTGAGGATGGGTGCTATTGAAATCTGTCCTTTGAGAAACCCTTTCACTTTACCTTGTTAATCGTATCTATAACAAAATTCTTGATTGTGATTGGTTCTCCACGCACCTATTTGTCACGTAATTGGTGCGCGATTGTGTGGGTTTCCAGTTACAGGTATCCAGTTACAACTTTGTGTAATTGGATACCCACATGATTTGCATGTCAATTACGTATACTTTAATGCCTTTCTTCTTAATATGTCTTACAGTTCTGGAAGGTGCTACTCACTTTTTTGCTCTAAAGAAGTTATCTAAAGACTTCTTAAATTTTGAAATTTTGTTATTGATACAAATATTATTGATTAGTAATTGGACCTCATGTTGTACATTTCAGGGAGTAATCATGCTCATAATTTCAAATCGACCTTGGACTACATGCTCGTCCCATTTTAAAGTTACTCGCCTGATTACTCCCTGAATGGTACCAACCTTGGGTAATTCCCATTACGAATCATACTTTTAGTAAACATGGTAGTTTGAAATGGAAAGAGGGTGATAAGGTGATAGCTGTGTAACTATGTGTGTACATATTTACCTTGCTTACTTGAGATGCTTGTGAAGCAAACAACTCAAGTAAGCTAAGCAACTTGAGTGAGCTAAGCAGTGAGTAAGCCAAGCAACTCAAGCAAGTAAAGCAGCTCCAATTAGCAAAGCAGCTCAAGAAATTCATGGGCATCTCAAGAAAACTATGGATAGATCTTGAGTAAGCAAGAAATCAGAAGTAAGCTGTAAAGCAAGTTACCTTATAGGGAGTCATGTATCATCCAACTGCATTTATAGCTACATAATTGGGGTATTACACCCGGGGAGGCAAGTGTCCTGGTATTGTCTGGGGATGACACCTCAATTCAGGGGACACAACTTTTGGTCCTGAAACAAATGTTCATATCATTTTTATATCACTAACCCCTGTTGAAGGAACACCTCTATTCAGGAGACAGGAACATTTTTCTGGGTCTCTCAGCTCTGTTTTAACCATCATTAGGGGGACACTGTAACCACTTGGAATGTGACAAAAAAGGGTTGATAAAATTACAATACACTAATAATGAAACTTTTCAAAACATGTATTTCTGTACATCACAATAAATGATAGCTATTGTCTGTACAATCAATCCTACTTTTAAAATTATTTAAGGTCAAGTGCTTAACCCTTCATTCACTGAGTTTGGATGGCCAACAGTCAAAATCAGATAATTTATGATAAATTATCGTATGGCATTCTTCCATCCAAACTGATCTTTCGGGGCCTTAGTTTTCGCATCAGTTTTCCCCGTGTTCACTTCATACTCAGAGCTGAGACAACCTGGGCACGACTGGACAAATATCACATCCGGGAGTCTTACTTACACCAACCAAGATGGCGGCTATAGTGAAGGGATGTCGAGTGCTAGAAAGAGTGCCATTTTTGGTGAGTTCATTTTAAATTGACACAGTCCGAGTAAATTCATACTTAGAATATGAGTTGGTGTGTTCTTTTCCACCTAATTCAATTTGTTTTGTTACTAACAGGCTCGGAATCTGAGTGTTTCGTCGGCTCGGTATGCTGAGCTCGCCGCTAAGGTAGGTACATGTACCGGTATTTTGATCCTGTTTTATGGCGCTGTTTTTTACAGATGATTCTGATGTACTAGATAAATTGACGTCTTTACTGCGGAGTACTCGAAAGAAGCTATATGTTTTTTGAGCTGCATTGTAGCAACAGTCTCGAATACCCAGTGAAGTTATATTGTACTCACAATGCACGTTAATTACAAGTAAATCCATGTAAGAAATGCTGGAGCTTACTCTCAAGTTTAATGTGTCTAGTAATGCTCAATGTTTCTTTGATAAAATTCTATGAAACTCTTTGTCATTGGTTAAGAGAATCTTATAATACTGTAATTGAAAATTTTTAGGTAGAGTTAATACAGTGTCCCCGATTAGCCCACATGAGCTAAATACATTGACACTTAAATAAAGTACTTACGTACTTACTTACTTACTTACTTACTTACTTATGGTGATTTCGTATTTTTGTTATAAATCTTAAACCTGTCAAGATCATTTTGAGGTCCTAAAAAGTGATTTCCACCTCTCTCCTAAGACTGGACTTTGTTCCTCTCTCAGAACTGTGGCTGGTAATCAAGCCTAGTGAAGCCTCTCAACTCTTGCAGTCTAAAGTTTTGCAATTTCTAAACTAAGAAAACTTATGCCTGGTTCACGCTCATGGGATAAGCATAGCACTAGTGAAATAAGCGGGTTCCCACTTGTGAGATAAGCTTAACACTTATTAGCACAAGCATAAGCGCAAAAGAAACATGTTCCTTTTTTTTTTGTGCTTGCACGTATACTTATTTCATTACTGTTGTGCTTATCTCACAAGTGTGAGGCAGGCTTAGTTAGGCTAAAATGCAACTGGTTCTTTTGCAGCCACCTATTCAAGTGTTTGGCATCGAAGGTCGTTATGCTCATGCAATGTATTCTGCAGCAGCCAAACAAAAAAATTTGGAGCAAGTTGAGAGTGAATTAAGCAAAGTTGATGAGCTTATAAGAACAAATGACAAACTATCTGAGTATCTGGCAAATCCTACTCTGGACAAATACAAGAAACAATGTGAGTTTAATACAAGTAAAATGGAAGGCACAATGGCCAAGCTAAACTCCAGATCAAGCAGTCCAGGTTTAAACCCTAGATGGTGTGATTGTGTTGTGTTCCTGGGTACAATTTGTCCTTCTCCACCCAGGTTCATTGTTGAAAGGGTGGATAACGTTATCAACCTGGCCCCAGTTGTTTGAAGGCTGGATAACACTATCCACCGCATAAATCGCTATCCAGTGGATAACAAAACAAACAAAACAAACCGGGCTATCCACTGGATAGTGATTTATTCAGTGGATAGCGTTATCCACTTTTCACACAACATGGGCCAGATAAATCACTGTCAAGTGGATAAATGGCAACAAAACACTGTCCACTGTCCACTGGATAGTGATTTATCCAGTGGATAATGTTAGCCAGCCTTTGAACAACTGGTCCTAGTTCTGGATATTAGGATAAGCTTAAGATAAACCTTAATGTAAGGATAAGGAGTATGGAGTGATTGGCTGCTTGATTACACTTTTAATTTTTTTCTAATAATTATATTACCTTACCTTGTGTGGAAACAAGTCCAGGATGTTATCAAGTATTACTTTCTTGTGATGGTGTGTATTCTGCTTGTTTTTTTATTTTAGTTTATTTTTAAGTCTGTACTCATTTTGGTCTTGTTGCTTTTCTTTATTAGCACTCCTCACTGATGTCTTGAAATCACAGAAATACTCTGATCTTACAGTCAATTTGTTTGGTGAGTGAACTTGAAACATGTATCAGGGTGGACATTGCAATCTAACTAGCCAAGGTGGCTCATTGCACAAATCATATGATAAGCAAAACCTTTAACATTGTGTTAAGGTGGAGGGAAGAGGAGATACAAATCAGTTTTAGGCTTGTAAAATTTTTTCGGCTTACATTACAAACTATCTGTGAGCCTGAAATTAATAATGCTATAATAACAACATCTGGAGTTTTAGTTTTTAAAACTAATCTTTTTTTTTCAGGGACATTGGCTGAGAATAATCGTCTCCGTCTTGTTCACAATGTAGTGGTTGCATTTGGTAAACTTATGAGTGCAGCCAGAGGTGAAGTGTTGTGTTCAATAACAACTGCCAAGGTTTGTGAGAATCATTACTATTATTATTCCACTTTTACACCATTTTACCATATCAGGTCAACAGAGCATGCAAAATAGCATGTATTTCAAAAATTAGAAGCCAAAATACTACAAAATGATATGATAGTATAATAAATTCCTTATTTGATTGTTTAACATATACACAAACATTTTGCTCATTGCTCGTATTTTTTAATACTATGGAACTTGCAAAATACCCATGCATGTTATACTATATATGTTAAACCATCAAAGAAGGTGTTAACTTTGGTTTGTAGTAAATACACAGTCTGCCTTTTGGGTATTGCCATCGTGGTGGTACACATACAGATCAAAGGTTCAAGTGCAAGTTAGAGGGGTGTAAAATATAAATGGAATTCTAGATTTGTATATATACTGTAACAAGTGATAGATAATTTTAACTTAACTTAACTTAACTTAATTTATTAGTAATTTTATTAGGAGTGTCCCCGATTAGTCGGCCTCTGGGAGGACTAGAAGTTTTAGACACTTAAATAAAGTTTATTGATGGATTGATTGATTGTTCCTTTATGAGCCAATGAAAGAGTTGCTTCCAAAATGTAACAAAAACTGCACAAGGATCCATGGCTTAGATCATTCCACAAGAAGAATGATTAATTGATGCACAGACAGAATAACTATTCTTAAAATTGTTCTGGAATGTGTTATTCCAAAATAAAGTCAATCAAATGCAGCCAAAGGGCACATACTGGTCATCACTTTTTATATCAATCTTGTTTCAAGAAACAGCACTATTCTTACAAAATGTACATGTAGTCAGAGAAGTGAAGGGTCCTGGGGCCTGTTTCTCAAAAACCCCAGAAACATTTTGGGTCTGCAAAGCCATTTTTAGTTAAATTAATCTGTATCTAAAAACAGAAAGGTTTATATGCCCGAAACCTCTTGTATGAAGGGAACTTCTGGTCATATTAAGAATATGTATATAAAGCAACTCTGTAATCATAAGGTTTGAGATTTTCCTACAGCTTTCCGAGTGTGAAAACTTTTCAGGACCTTGGAGAAATGGGCCCCCTGGAATGGAAGGGTGTCTGGAAAACCCGAATAGCGAATAGCGAATAGTCGCGAATAGCGAATAGTGAATAATCCCAAATAGTGTGAATAGTCTCGAATAGTGAGAATAGTGGCGAACAGTCACGAAAAGTGACCAATAGTGACCAATAGTGATGAATAGTCGTCAATAGTCATCGCCTTAGATCTAATATAAAGCGTTAATTAATTATCCAAATAAGCAACAGAATTTCAGTGAATTTATTACCTTTTCTTCTCCGGACTCGGACTAGTAGGCTGTCCATCGCCAACATTAAGAAAACAGAAAACACAAGGATAACCTAATAACAACGTATTTACACTTTTGCAGCGGTTAAAACAGAAGAAATTACGTTTAGAAACACCTTTTGTCCTGATAAGCGTCTGTGCTTTTTAGCGGAAAAATCCCATCCTAAGTTGCTACGAGGTTGACTGCGAGATACTGGGTACCCTATTTATTACTATTTTCCACTATTTGCCACTATTTGCTTCTATTTGCCACTATTCGCCACTATTTGAGACTGTTCACCACTATTCGCACTATTCGTACTATTCGCTATTCGCTATTTGGGACTATTTGCTGTTCGCTATTCGCAACTATTCGCTATTCGGGTTTTCCAGACACCCAGAATGGAATGAGATCAGCTTGAAAGTAATGTTGAAGTTATACAGTTGAACCCGCCATTTTGAACCCTCAGGTTAAAAGAAAAATAGTTCAAAATAGTGGTAGTTAGAACCGAGAGTAAATGACTGAAGGGCAAATCCAAGGGAAATGGTTTTGAGTTCGAATAACAGGAAATTTGAAATAACCGAAATCGAATTGGCAGGGTCCAACTGTGCTCATACTTTCATTTAAAAGTACCTTGTTTCCTGTCTAATTTAGGTTAATCACTGCTAATTCAAGGTAGTGCCTTGTTGAACCTTCAACTATTACATGCTGTCTTGCTATGATTGACTTTGTGTGCAGGGTTGGAGGAAGATAAATGTGATAATATACCAAAGAAGTGACTGCTATGAGTCAGTTACTCCTGTTCCAACATCACAACAACGTAATCTGCCAAATGTCACTCTTTACACACAGACACATGTAGACACCACCCCAGTTCACACTTATATTTCAAACTAGCCCACTAGTATGAACACTTTCTTCTGTGGTCTCTTCAGTAACATTATAGATTATTTGGCTTCATGGGTTTATGTTTGATGGCCTCCGACTTTTAACTGAAGTAAAGTAATAACTTGATTTTAGAGCGGTTTTCATTTGAGTGTCGAAAGTAATTAGACAATTACTTTGGTTTTGGTTTTGGTTTTACTACGGTTTGAGATTGGCTGAGTAGTCCAACTTGTAAGTAATTGGTTTGGTTTTGGTTTTACGACACTCAATTGAAAACTGCTCTAAGTTCTGCCCTTGACACTGAGTAATTCCATAGTCAGTCAAAAGTCGCAGCTGTGTCCGAGTAAGAACCAGGTCTGAATAAAATGACCAAGTCATTGGTCGTGCCATTTAATCAAAATGGATGCTTATAAACAAAGCAATTGGCAGGAGAAAAGTTTTCAATCCATGGAAAGGCTGGATGGTTTAGAAAAGCATCTCAGTGAGACAGAGAAATTTGTGCATAATAGATGCAGCATCTTAGGTTAAGAAAAGCCATGCTTGTTTGCCAGACAGAGGACAGCCTTGCTATTGCTCCCTAAGTTCAGCTAATATACCCACAAGACGTGCACACTGGTTAGGAGAATTACCAAACAAGTGTACAACCCACTTTAACTATGTCTTTTAAATTGCATGCCTTAGTCTTTTTGCTGACAAAACGAGAGTAATCATTCTGACAGTCTGCTTAATGCAGACACCAGGGTGACACAGACACTCTGGCATGTCCCTTGGCTGCCTGTGTTAACCAGGTTCCACTGTACTTACTATTGAAAAGACTTGGACAACTCAATAAACTGGTACGAAGTGCAATCCAGTTTGGGTTTGAAAATTTGTGTGAAGGTCTGCCTGGCCTCAAATGGTTAATGACAAATCATGCAACATTTGATACCCATTTAATCCTGCTTTTTTGTGACATGTTCACACTTAGTTGAGATCGATAACAGTAGATCGTCCTAATAGGTTACCTTTACTTGTGTTAGGAACTGGATAGCTCTCAAATGAAAGAGTTGCAGACAGCTTTGAAAGGCTTTGTCAAACAGAATGAAACACTTAAGATTGAAACCAAGGTTAGTAACCTGTAAATCGTTTTTGGAGTTACTTTTACACTTCTGCACAGGACAAGATTGCAAGAAGAAAGGGTCTCCACCTACTGTTCTTTGCCTAAAATGTACCTCACTTTAATTTGATTTTATTCCCCGTTTCTCACTTTCACTTGTTCAGAATGAATAGGATCTTATTTATTCCCCAAGTGATTTGATTTAGCATCTTCCTTCCAATAAGGGCCCCCTTTCTATTAAGCAGCCCCCTTAAACATGGTTTTGGAGTTTGTGTTCCAGTTAACACCTTCTATACCAATAAGCCCTCCTTACTACATATTAAGCCTTTTCAATTACTGCATTTTCAGAGTACATTGAGATGATCTGTACATACAGTAGTTCATTTTCCCTTTGAACAGTTCACATCATCCTTGCATTACAAAACAACTGGTCTCCTCCTAGTATTGTCTGGACTGTTATCTCTATGTGAGAACACAATAACGATATTTTTCCTTTAAATGAAACAGCATCTTTTGTTTTACATACTTGGGTCGTACCCGTCCCTGTCTCTTACGAATGTCCTTCCCTCAGCTCTCCCAATAAATTAAGCACCCTGAGCACAAAATCAGATCATGACAATATTAAACCAGTCTCTTGGAATTAAAACAGCAAACAATGTAGCTGTTGCACTGTTAGTCCTGAGTCACCTGATACCCTCCCTGATCTTTATGCCCAAACAAACCTGTTGCTTTGTGGTTTCACAACATAACAACATAACAAAACAAGCAAATTCATCTCATATCATCATGAGCCCACCAATCATACAAAGGTACGACAGGTATTACAGGTTAGAGCCGATGATGACATCCTGACAAATACTGTGGGATATTCGCACTCCTGTCATATGATATTTGTAGCTTACTTAGTGCACTTGGAAAATAAATTTAGTCACTTTTGCTATTCCAGGTACTAATTGAAATTTTTTCATGCCAACAATTCTTTAGGTTGACCCTGCCGTGATTGGAGGTATGGTTATTGAAATTGGGGACAAACGCATTGACATGTCTATGGCCACAAAGATAAAAAATATAACAAATGCTCTACATGAAAGTGTGTAACATCCTTGGACTAGAGTGGCAAGATTTTGTAACTTGTACAATAACGGTCCCACTTGTTTGATTAACAATCAGCAGTAGAGTTCTGGTGATGTATTGACTTGAGTGTAATTACTTGATTGTAGAGCTCTCCATTTTGTTGGCAAAGTAAAACATTTAATAATCGTAAGAATTTGACTGAACTTTTGCTGTGAAGTTACTGCTGCAGGCGTATTGTGGGGGGGGGTAATTATTAAGGTGATTCCTCAGTATTGCATTGTGCATCCCTACTGAATAAACTGAATATCCATTTAAACAAATGTCCACTTTAACTTTAAGAGTTCAGTGTTAGGCTGCTTGGGAGTTCAAAGACAGAGAATTTTAATCACTGAACTTTGTTTAATTAACCCTTAATTCAAACACAGCCAGTGAAATGTGTAGTTGATGAAGAGACTTGGCTGTTATCTGTGGTAGACTTAATGTTTGGGGTACCTTTTCAAGAGTTTCACTGGAACCAAAATCCAATATTTGCAGAGAAGGGGTTTGGGTTGGGGGGGGGGGGGGCATAGTTGGTAGAGGGTCCGCTTTACCAGCTATGGGGGGGTCATGCTAAAAAGCCCTCCGTGGGAGGGATTTGGATATCTTCAAGGGTAACACAATCTGACAAAGTCAGGTAAGTTGTGGNAAAGGTCGGCCGAAAGTTGAGGCTGGAAGCCGCTACTATATCTACACATTTTGTATTTATTTGGTCAGGGTCCAAATTTTATTTTTTTCAGGGAAAACACACTCAGCTGACCAACTCTAGAGCACAAAAAATAATATGCAACCATTACTTTTTAAGAAAATAAATTTTATTTGTCACTCTTTTAATGCAATTTAGATGAAATACATAGAAAGTTTATAATTGAAGTTTGGTCACAGCTTCACCTCTGTGACTCTCTCCCAGTTATGCACCCTTGTTACTCACTCTTGTCTTATAAAGACAACCTATTTTTGGTTTACACAATTTTTTTTTTTATGAAGTCTAAAAATAGTAGAATTTTGCTGATATATTGATGCAAATGCTGCAATCTGATTGGCTGAGCCATCATACGCTAAGAACCATTGGTATGCAGTGGTTAGTAGCTGTTTACAAAATAGCGATGTTTTCTCATTCATTAAATGACAACTCAGTCCACACACAATTTTGCCAAAGTGGATGTAATGGATCTTTTTAATTACTTTGTGAGCAGTCCATATTGGAAAATTTGTAATTCTCCTTTTCATCACAGACCTGTTCAGCCATGATAAAAGTCATCATTTGAAGAAATTTCAGATAAAATTCAAATAAAACAATAAGATTATTTGGTCTTGATTTCTATGAGGTAACAGTTTATTCAACCTTCAGCCTTATCAGCATATTACCTCACAAAAATCTCAAGCTCAAAATGTTTTGTTTATTATTGTTGTTTTGAAAATACTCAAAATGAAACTTCTCAAAAGAATTATTAAAAAAATTAATTCTATATATTGTTATAAAATAAGCATACCCAGTCTGATTCTATAATGTATAGTACATTATATTGATATAGTACCAATCTACACTATTTTAAAATGGCTAGAAAAGTAATGGCTTTGTATAAATGATAACTCTACTTTTTTAATACAGAAGAAACCTTCTAAAGTTGCAGCCAGGATTCAAGATAATAATATAACCATGGGTTTGACACTGGCTTAAAAAACGTTGAAAGAAACATTTTGTTAAAAAACACTAAAAAAATGGTGCAACCAAAAAACTTTAGTCTTCATCGGTTGTGAATGGAAAGAGTGTAACAATGGATTATATTAAAAAAGTTCCAAAATTTATATGCAAATATGATAGGTGTATGATCATGGGCAGATTCCAAAGTGGGAGAGCAGTTAAAACTAGAATTTTGGAACACAAAAAAGCAGTCCATATTTTTGACACCAATTCAAAGATTGCCCAACATGTTTATCAATATAATCATGACATGGATTTTGATAACGTTGAAATGATCAGCAGAGCTAACAATTACCACAAAAGACTTTTTCTGGAAGCATGGTATTCCCAAAGAGACCAGAACACAGGGAATGACCATGTATATGTTCTTGACATTTGTGCTTCATTTACGCTTTTACCTAAATTCTTTGATTTCTAAAGCTCACTTGCACAACAAGCAGAGGCTGCTCTTTTTGTGATCAGTTGATCCTCCATCATCCACAAATGAAAACGGACCTGGTTCAAGAAGTTACGAAAGCTTCTGTGTTGTTTGACCGGAAAATCTCTGTCCATACGTTTATCATCATTTTCAACATGTGCATTTTGTGCGTTTGTTCGGAATGGGCCATATGCATGTACTTGTAGCTCATATTTTGCAACATAATGTCGTACCACAATGTAGTGTTCAAGCCAGTCATCAACACCATGTTGGAGTGCATGGGGGTCATTTAGTATTTTTCGCTGCTCATCAGTAAGGACAGATTCCATCTCTTTTAAGTGTTTTTTCAACACCCCTGTAATAAAAAGTAAACTCACAGTTAATGAGCATTTTTACTTTGCGGGTAGTATATCTATTTTGATTAGAGAAGATACAGAAAAATGTTTTAAAGGAAAAATAAATGCTATAACAAGATGTTTCAGCATCATCTTGTCACCATTATCAAATGTAGATTTAAGTCGTTCTGTTTGGATATATACTAGCTTAGGTGTTGTACTAAGTAACTTAAATGTAAGGTTACGATTTTTGGGAATTTAATGGTCAATTTGCTCTATGAGGCACACCTGTAGGGAACCATGGTAGTTGTATTCATCAAAATAAATATCTAGTCCAAGATGATGAAAACATTTACCATGATTCCCTGCAGGCACGTGTCATAGAGGGGATTGGCCATTGAATTTGTGATTTTAGAGATATGCTTAGGAAGCAAATTATTTTGTCTTTTTTTGAGCTAGAAGGTGAAAAGGCTCAGATTTTAGGGCTGCAGTTTGGCCATGCTAGTTTTGTGTCATTGATATTATTCTGTTTTCAGAAAGCACTGTCTTACCGATGTTGTAGCCAACATTAGCACTAGTGTCCAGTGTTTCTCCAGTGGGATCACTATCAGTTATTGAAACTTCTGCAACAAGTTTAAAAACAGATGATGTGATAATTAAGAAGCTTAGTGCTTGTGTTTATCAAATATTTGTTAGTTTGATAGACTCCAGTTGGAGCTGTCCCTAACCTTTTTACTTTCATAGTGCCTCTCTCCACCCCGGTCAGGAATTTCTTTTTTTGCCGTTTAAGACAGGGAGTGTACAGCCACTGCATGATGGGAAAAGATCTGTCATGAGATAACCCAAAGGGTATTTTGATAACATTTGCAAAAATTACTTGGAGATTTGTGTAACCGCTTCCGGTAAAGTTGAGAAATATTTTCCCATTTGATTGACGTTACTGTGATTCATGCATTAAATGTTTGACAAACATAGTTCACGTTCAGTTCAAGCTAAGACCCCTTCTGTTCAAGATCGTAAGGCAAGTTAGAGCAAAATTGTCGTGGGAAAATCAAGACCCGCAAATGTTGGTAAGCTACAATCTACTGATGTTGATATTTACATTGTTACGTAAATTTTTGATTCTAGTGAGAGCTATAATTAGATTTTGACCGCTCTCAAAGCTCTCTATTAGCACGAGCATGTGGCATAATCATTGTGATTACTTTCTAAGTTAGAAACGCAAAGATATTTAGTGATTTCTTGACAAAATAATTTCAGTTGACCACTTTGCTTTGATTCGTATGAAAACACCCTGAGGCCACAAGACTAGGATTAAAGACATTAAAATGAAGATTGTTCTCCTATATATGCTGGCTTGGTGTTTTAAGGAGTTTCGACTGTGCATGCAAACAACCCGGGAGAACTAGATTTCAATTCTGGCTTACGAAACCATTACAATTTGTATCATGGCATATTACTCCAGTTAATTATATGGCTAGCTCCATGGGTGGGCGAGATGAATCAAAGCCTGGGCTGTGATTGGCTACCCGAGCAGGCAAGATGGAGGCATCTTGCCTGTTCAGGACTACCTGGCGTGTCCCACAAGAAAAATTTCTCCCAAAGCCATATAATTAATCCTTTACTGACCAAGCTTGTTCAGTGAAGATGGCTGGATATTGGCCTTGTTCTTTTTTTAGCGAGGTTATGGACCTCGACTCTGTCTCACTCCATAAACTCACAAAAAAGAACTTGACCAATATCCAGCCATCTTGACCTCACACTTGGTCAATAACCCATATATAATGAGCTTGGATATAACCCATCCATGCATTATTGAGAAAGCAGAGCTGTAAAAGCCCTTTAGGCTGCATAGACTCTTAAAAAATAATGATATTGTGACACTATTAAAGTGTTTGGGCCAACAAAGTCCTCGTTCATAATATCTATTCTGTGCTCTTACTTGTAGCATAAGGAGACAATGCAGTCACTTCTCAAGGGACAAAATGCTCTTACTTGTAGCATAAGGAGACAATGCAGTCACTTCTCAAGGGACAAAATGACAAAATAATCCTACGTGTAACACATACGTTCAAACTGTGAACATTTTCCTTATATAATATGGCTAACACCTACCAGGTATCACTGAATCTTCAGGTAGATATGCTGCCCCACCTGTGCCAATGTAATCTAATGCTGGATCCCCTGTTGAAACAGTATACCGAAACACAATATTACTTTTAGATATGCTAATAATATCGTAACATATTGGCAAACTAATCCTTGATAAATATGAGCATTCTAATTGGTTTCCCTGGGGGTAGCAACTTGCATTGGGCTATAATCCATTAAAAATTCCCTTGATATTTAGCTCTGTCACTGAGCACATGATAAACTGTTCAAACAGATCTTGTGTACTTATATTCACAAGATATACACATACTTTGTTTTGGTTACTAGGAGGCACAGTTGCATGATGCTTTTAATGGTATGATCAATGTGTTGAATGCTCTGGGGTAGAGCCCTGGCTAGGACTTGCCTGTGTTGTGTTCTTGGGCAAGACAGTGCCTCTCTCAACCCAGGTGCATGAATGAGTGCCCATGAAATGCTGGTGTGGGGCAGGGGGTGGTACCCTGCAGTGGACTAGCATCCCATCCAGAGGCAAGTAAAAATAAACCTGGTCACCTCTCAATGGGAACTGGAGCTGGAGTTGAGTGCCAGCTTGATGCAGGCTTTAATCCAGGCTTTATACCTTTACCTTTTTATTGTTTCACACTTTTTAGTAAGAATGGTGAAAAGTTCGTACCAAATTGCAATGATTTTTTGACCAATATCTGGAGTACTTCCCATTCCTTTGGACAGTAGCCAATGTTGAAACATATTCGTAACATCAGTAAGGGTAGAAGTCTTGGTGATGCCAAAAGCTGATGGAAAATTAGTGACCATGTCAAAATTAAAACCAAGCATAAAGTTCAAAGAAACCCTTAAAGTGCGTTTATTGAAACCAAGGCCACTCAGACAATGAATACCAATCAGATGGCAAAACTGAAACAATAGATTCCAACATTTTCAAATCCAGCCAATCAAATGTCCAGTACAAAACAATGAAATCTCAACTTGTTCGTTGTGATGCTTGCGACTACAGTGTCTGTTAATAAATTGTGAAACCATTGGAAAATATTGTGTTTCTTTACTTTAGATTTTACATCTACAACTGTGATAAATTCATTACATTGACCGTTTCCCACTGTGAATGTATGGCCAAAACAAATCATCTTTATGGTGTTTGTTTAAAATCATATAATAATAGGTTTTGACACATTTTTACAAAATAAATTTCGCTCCTGTTGTCTGTGCGTGTTTCTCTTGTTACACAGCTTTCTGTTGTCATTATCGTGAAATTCACCACACAGTTCTTGGATAAACTATCGCATCCACTGTCTCAGCAGCTGAACATTTCTGAGTTTGAGCTCCCTTTCTGGGTTGTCAGTGTATTGAGATAACATCTTCATCAAAATGTTTTTGCCGCTTTGTACTATCAATGCCTCAGTGTGTAAAATCACTGAGGCAAAAACAAAAGATGGTGCCATAGGAACCTTCCCTACTCAAAGACCATTTCAAGGGTTTATTTTAAACAGCTGTGACAATATTCCAACCCTACACCACACACTCTGGTGATATATATTTACAAGTGACATTCTTGCCCAGCTTTTCTTTTCATGTATTTTCTAAACCAAGCAACTACCCCTTAGAAATCGCAGCATATAATTCAATTCAAGCACACAAAAGTGCTAATGGTTCAAGTTTGACAATTTATTGATAAGTGACACTGTAGTGGTGTAAGCATCACAACGAACAAGTTAAGACTTCATTGTTTTGTACTGGACATTTGATTGCCTGTATTTGAAAATAGGACATTTGATTCGCTAGATTTGAAAATGTTGGAATCTATTGTTTCAGTTCTGCCATCTGTTGGTTTTGTCTGGGTGGTCCAGGTTTCAGTAAATGCACTGTAAAATTTACCAGAACTAATTTTTGTGTGCAATTTTGAACAGCAGTCTAAATTAATTTAAACCTGAAGAGGTAATGATTCTAAAATAAAAAACAATCACCACAAATAATATTGATAAAAACTATATATTCAGATACCATATTCCTAGTTCCAGCCATAACATTTTGTGGAGTGTTAAACATTCTGAAGGGTACTGGGATATTTCTGCTGGTAGCTGTTTTTAAATTTAAATGTCCTTAGAGGAACAACAGCATGCATTGAAACTCCTAACTGGTACACCAACCTCCATCATTTTTGTAAATGGAAGTCCTTGGCGGGGTGGTTCTCTTAAAAAATCTTTTGGTAATTGTGACTTATTTTGTAACATGATAATTAAATATTACCTCATCAATAGTTCCAAATAATGCTTGCAAAAGGAAAATCACGAAAGACTTGCGATATCCAAATTTTTTAAACATGTCAGTACAACTCATCCAGTGTGCAGTCTGATCGACACGTGGTGGAAGCTTGGCTGTAAGGACAGTCAAATAAAAAAAAATCAATAGGACTGCACATGTTTATTTGAAGAAAAAGATATTGCTATGTAGAGTGGAGTAGAGTAGAGTAGAGTAGGATATAGTAGCATAGAGTAGCGTAGAGTAGTGCAGCATAGCATAGAGTAGACTAGCGTAGAGTACAGTACAGTAGAGTAGGGTAGCGAAGAGTAGAAGTAGAGTGGAGTAGCATAGTGTAGCAAGGAGTCGAGTAGAGTAGCGTAGCAAAGAGTAAAGTAGAGTAGAGTAGCATAGAGTAGGTTAGAGCAATGTAGCGAAGAATAGGGTAGCGTACAGCAGAGTCTTATTGTGGTCTTCAATCTGTTCTTTAAGAGATCTATAAATTTACATGACTCCATTGCCTTCGCTCCTCTATTTTGCTCCACAGAACTGTACGATACGGGCAGTAGAGGCACTGAAAACACTACTAAAAATATTCAGCCTTTCCTGGGACATGTTTGAACTCGCATTATTATAAGCCTTCTAAATGGCTAGCCCACCATGCGCATTCATAGTGCAATGGTAAGAGCCCCTACTTGGTAGGTAGGAGGTCATGAGTTTGAATATTGTAAGGCAATCAGATGTTTTCTTTGTCCCATGCTGTGACATGCTGAACATTTATCTTTCACAGGTGTTTATAGGTTAAAAGTTAATCCACTTACACTCAAAAATGTGACTGAGTGCTTGGCAAAAGCACAACACAAACACCCATAGTACTGGATTGTAGTACCAGTGCATGAGCTTGAAAGCATTGAAGTACTTCACATGACCAGAAAAGTGATTTGTGTGGTTCCAACACTCAGTGCAGTTTAAGCTTTCCGGCGAAGAATTTTTCACAGCCATTTGGAATGTTATGTTTGCAAGGATGTACATGACAACCAGGGGTACAATCATGAAAAGCTGGGACAAAACAGAAATACTAAGTATTATTAAAGTCCCTATGAAGTAAAAAGTAATTGCTGCTTAATTGAAAGGCTTTTCAACGTAAAGAACAATGGCATTTTCCTTTTTGGAATATCTTTTTTCGTTTTAGAGATATTCAAGTTTTTGTATTATACAAATGAGGAAAGTGATGACGTCATAAATAGTTCTACTTAAACAGTAGAATGCTGAATCAAGAATATCTCCAGAAATATTGGAGCAGTATTTTTCAAACTTGGCACCAGAAATGTACATCACTGAAGAAACAGAATGACACCTACTATGTTGTTGCCATGGCAACACTCTTGGCTCCAGTCCCTTTCTGTGAAAAACCAAATATCCTCATTCGCAACCTTTTAAAGTGGGACAGAGGGTCTTTCTCGGAACACAGATGGTTCCCATATTGTCTTAACTCTCCCCATTAGATTGTTGGGAGTGGATGATCCTTTTTAAGATAAAATCTGGGAATTTTAGTCTTAATTAAAACAGGACCAACAGTATAATTGCTGTCATGGCAATGGCACAACGGGTGTCATTTTTTTTTTTGTGATGTACATGTCTGGTGCCAAGTTTAAAGAACACTGCCTTAATATTTCTAGAGATATTCTTGATTGAGTGTTGAACTGTTTTAGTGAAACCACCTATGACGTCATCACTTTCCTCATTTGCATAAAACAAAAATGTAAATATCTCTAAAATGAAAAAAGATATTCCAAAAAGGAAAACACCAATCCTCTTTACTTCGAAAAGCCTTTCAAATAAGCAGCAATTATTGTTTACTTCATAGGCACTTAAAATAATAATAATATAGGTATCTAATTTTGTGTGATTTGCTATTCCTCTTAGTTTCATCTGCAAATTCATTATTAGTATCATGTTTGCATTTGTTCTAGTTTACATCAGTTTTTCCCAAAACATTTGATATCCATGTGCAGTTGATCCTTTTCTTGTAGACTCCTCAGTATAAATTATATAGTGTACTGATCACTTTGTCACCTCCATTATATTACACTCAGCTTGGTTGAAGTGAGGAGCAGTTCCCAAAAGATGTTGTTGGTCATCTGTCGGCCAACTGGAGGCTCACATGGCTCACTTGCTGGTTAGCTGGTTAGGTTAAATAACACTCCTATTAGCCTAACTAGCATTCTGTTTACTCTAAGTAGCACTCTGGTTAGCCTAAGTTAGCTTGTGGTTAGCCTTTTTATTGTGGTTAGGGATCCTGGCTCACTTGCCTTCCATGCCTTGCTGGCTCGCATATTATTAACACTCTGTGATGCAACATGCGTATGTTCACTTATTTTGTTTATAGTGTGGTTATTAATTGAGTATCAAAACTAAATCAATCACAGTGGCAACAAAAACAACTTAAGAACCAATCAGAAGTAAAAACAAATCATGTAAAATAAATCAGTGCCAAGCAGGGGAAAATTACACACACACACTATTGATTTTGGTGTAATGTTGCCTGATTGGTCAAACATGGAGGTAACATAGCTGAATGGTTTAGGGCACTGGGTTTGAAATCTGGAGGTCAAACCTGGTCGAAATCCTCCATCCTACCGCTATCTGGATTTGTTCTTAGTATAGTCCCAAGTTCATATCCTTGACCATGTAGTGTAAAGAGCCAACCGGTCAGCCTCTCACCAGTTGGTATTCTTTCAAAATACTTGAAGAGGGAATCCACCAGAAGTTTGAGTAACCAGTGGACAACTATGTACCAACATGATTTAACTTGTATTACAAATTTCTATGCGACTGTTTTAACTTTCTTCTTAAAAGAAATCATTTCTAACAACACCAAATGTCGAAAACAAGTGTTGAAGTTCATATGAAACACCTGAAAATACTGGTGAAATGAAGCTGATGAGGAATTTTAGCTCTGTTTGCACAATTTTTCTGAACTTTGAAATTTATTTCCTCAACTTCCCTTGGGAAATTGTTTTTGGTGTTATTTCAGCTAAATATATCTTTAGCTTTTAGAAAATATAAAAAGGACTGTAACATACTCAGAATTTTTTCCGGTGCAAGGTTTTTGTCCACTGAAAGTTGAAACTGCTCGATTTCCTATCGCATTTCATCTTAATATGCTCTATTTACAGTGTCCCCAATTAATAAATAAATTTAACTCTCTAAATAAAGTTATGATTTGATTTTATTTATACATACCCCCATACAAGGTGTCTTCTGGATCAGTCCCCAAAATGTGTACCAAAAAAATAGAATGTAAGCAGCAACAGCAGTTCCATTTAAAACAAGCACTTCAGTGTTGACGAGAGTATAACAGCCAAGAAATCTCCATTGGGCAAAGAAGGTTAACATCATCATGACAATTAAAGGCTGAAATGTAAAGCCAACAATGAAAAACTAAAGGAAACCCAGTAACTGCAAGAGGGCAACTTTTCTTAACAATAATGTAATAAATAATAATAGATATATATAGTGCTAAAATTATAAAATATTCTGAAGTGCTTTACAATGTAAGATTAAGATTACAGTGAAAATATAAGAAAAATGTGTCTAAAAATAATACAATTTAAAAAACTGACACCTGACACCTTAACTGACTCCTCTATTCAAAATTTGTTTGATTTAAGTTAAATTTGAATTATGATGTACAAAAATTACTGCAGTTTTTAATTAGTGCCTGTTGTACTCCTCTGTGCATGTGAGGCAATTATTAGAGTTTAAACTGATGGTCTAATTTTTAAAATTGGAATTAATTAATCCTCTTCCATCAATCTTGTGGGAAATGTGAAAGTTATTAACAGTAATGGTTTTCAGGGTATTATTTTGAAATTCATTTGTGGAGGGTTTCCATAGCATTTTTGTATTATTTTTTTTGTGTGTAAAGATCATACAAAGGGTCCAACAAAGAACAATTAGGTTTCCAAAGAAAGAAGTTCGTTATAAAGCCACACAAGCAGGGCTCGAAAAAAGTGCCGTCCCATTGTCCTGGACAGATACAAGGTAGATTTTCTTTTTGGGCAAGTAACTTTTCATTCTCGCTTGGCCAATGGGCAAGGGATCAGGTAAGTTGTCTGCCAACTAAAGCATTAAAATTACAACTAAGACTTGCCCAGGGCAAGCAAAATTTGAGAGCTACTTGTCCCAAGGGCAAGCTGGAATTTTTCAAGCCCTGGCAAGAAAATCTCAAAACATTCCAATAAGTGGCACAATTTGGTACTGAGTCATAAAATTTCTACTAGTTAAAACCTTCCAGTGGACTTTGGGAATGGGAATTGTGAAAATAGTAACTCGATAAAGAGTTTGCCAATATTTTGGTTTGGTTGAAAAAACTTCTCTAGGGCAACTCAGGTATTCACAGGATTGATTTTTTCTACTGAAACTTTAAAAAAAAGACAAAAACACAAAAAGGTCCTTGGGTGAAGCGATAGCAGCTTTGACAATGTTACTCAATAACTACAGAATTTGTTTGGGAATCATTCATTGAACTACAAAGTTGTCTTTAATGAAAACAATTTGTGCTCAAATTTGAACAAAATAATCCACGACAACCCTACATTTACTAAGTGATTTCATTATGTAGCTTTATTTAAAATAGCATATTTAGGTCTAATATAATGGGAATTCCCATACAAAGTCTACAAATCATTTGTTGCCTGACATTATCAAAGCTTTGCATACTTAGCCCAGGTCAGTGGTAATTTTAGGTAAATCTGAGTGTTATTTAGGCTGACTGTATTGCCCTTCTGCAACAGGTCTATTTCAAACATACCATGAAGATGTAGTGGCCAAGTTTTGTCGCAAATTTGACGTGGAATATCTCTACCAAGTACAGTTGATAGTACAGACTTAGGCCAGTTACATTTGTTAGTGGTGTTACAAAGAACATGGCCAAGAATCTTGTAAAACAGTTTCTGGACCGCATAATTGGATCACAGCAGGGCTGCCAACAGGACATCTCCCACGAATCGGGCCAATAACGTTTAGGGGGATGTGACTGTATAAGTGAAGGAAAGAACTAGTTTATGACAAAAGTAATAAACTGACCACAATTTGTTTATCCCAGCCCCAGTAGTCTGGCTTAATTGCCATTTAATGTCACAATTTCAGATAGTCCTCACACAGTCAGAATTTCAACACAAGCCTTGCTGTTCATCATCATTTCCATGGTTACCATGTCATGTTGCATGTTGGAATTTTACCCCAACAGGGTGTTCATCTTAATCACATGAGATAATGCTGTGAGAATTCCACAGCCTATCAGGGATTGTTGTTGTCAAAATTGGGTATCCTCTGAATTGTGGTTAAGGAACTTAATAGCTGTTATTGCAGTTATCAGCGGCTTGACACACAAACGAGGCAAAAGGGTTGATTCTGCATTGTATTGACCCTTTCGCCTTGTCTGCATGCCTTTTAAAAAAAAAAGAATATTTGACTGGAGACTCCACTGCAATAACAGCAATTAGGACTTTTCAGGTCTCAAAAGGCAAAGTTTCTTATGCTCAAGGGATCAGGGCAGAAAAGGAAGTGCAGTGACCTTATTTACTATGGTGACTCCAAATTGAGCAGTTGATATTCAGACCTAGTGTTCTTGGGCATAAGACACTTCCCAAATTCAGTTGACTGCAGTGTGAGGACAGCAAACTTCCCAAAACCCTTACCCAATGTTTATGACCAAAATCTACAATTTTCCCTATCCTATTTATGACCTGACCAAACATTTGATACCCTATTTATGATATGACCCCTAAATCAATACCCTATTTCAGACCTGCCTTATAATTAGTTCCCTACTTCAGACCAATGTAAATTGCCATAAACATAATTTGTGGAGGGCTTTTGTTGATGGTCTTATCGATAGTGATGAAAAAGTAGCTTTTTCTTAAAAACATACCTATGTCAAGACGAGAGTGCAAAAACCATACCCTATTTATGACCATAATGGCCAAACTCGATACCCCATTTACGACCAAAACAGCTGAAAAACCATACCCTTTGGGGCCGTGCATACCTATATAGCCCATATGAGGGAGCATCATAGTCCATTGCAGGTCACCTCACCTCCCCCCAACTACCAATCCAGGCACTGAAATTAAATTATCTTGCCCAAGAGTGACCCTAGCCTGGGCTACAAAGCCTCCTGCATTTTGAGAAATAATTGATGAATTAATAGAATTATTATATTATTGTAACAATTATTATACTGTATTCATTACTATTATTATTATTATTATATATTTATTTTATTAATACTGACAGTTACCCCCAGCAGTGGATCATGTTCATCAGTTGCACTTAAAGCATCCACACTAGCACTTGCTCCATCAACTTGATCTGTTGATGCAGCTCCAGATTCCTTTAGACTACGCCGCTGTCGTCCCACAGCTCCATATGTGGTCTCAACTAGTCTTGAGGAAGTGCGATGTTTAAGTTCTTTTCTTACACCTTCATTGTGCACTATTAATTCATCCCACAGTGGATCTAAAAATTCCATCAATTGCAGAAATGAATGAAAATGACTGGTGGGCCTGGCAATATGGCAGCAAACTGATTCTGATGCCGATATTGACTTTTCACATAGGCGTACGGGCCAGGGGGGCTGGGGGGTTGCAGGGCAAGTCAGTTTTTGGGGGGCAACAAGAGAAATTGGGGCAAATTTTTTAAAACATTTCCATTCGTTTCGAGAAATTACAATGCCACTAAAAAAACAGCGAATAACAATATTGTTAATTAACATACAATAAGGTGCGACTCAATACTCAAAAGTAGTGCGAGTTGGAACTTTCTTAACACCCCTTTTTCTTCGTGTCTCAGATTGTCCCTAGTCAAAAGCTTTATTTTGTAAGAATTTGGAATGTTTTTCATTCTCAGTGCCCACTGTTTGAGCATTGCAGAAATTTCATTCACATCCTTTGGCTTTGGGCTGAATGGCATGAAGAAAAAAAATCGCTCACTGGTTTCTATTCCACGAAATCAACTGAAGGCGAGGCACTGTATAAACTGGTGAAGTCTGCTTTCACTGAACTCAGGGTGCGTTCCTTTGGGTTAATCTGGATCAGGATCAGTGATCCAAGATCACTCGGATCGTGGTGCATCAAAGGAACCGATGAATCCACTCAGGCCACAGATTCATCGGTTCCTTTGATAAACCATGATCCGAGTGATCTTGGATCACTGAACCTGATCCAGGTCACCCCAAAGGAACGCACCCTCAATCTGGACCTCAAGAAAATTGTTGGTAAAGCATTCGATGGCGCAGCTAATAGGAACGGTCTAGATACACAAGGGACTCTAAACAAGAATGGAAAAGTGCTCCCGCTCTGTATCTACATCCACTGTTACGGACATGTGCTCAACCTCGCCCTTCAAGATACTATGACACAGATTGAACCATTGCGTAACGTTCTTGGCACTATCCAGGCCCTGTAGCGAGTCTCAATGACACGCCCTGTTTGGCGACACAGGCGTAGAAGGCGAGGACGGTCTGAAACTGACGCTGAAGTCTTTGAGTGTCAAGAGGTGTGAGGTGTCCATGCTGGTGGGTATTAAACCGTGAAGGCCGTACACGGACAAATGGAACACATTGTAAAAGCTGTGCTCACGTTGTCTTCAGACAAAGATCCAAAAACCTACGCTGAGAGTAGAGCTTTATTTACCGCCATTTTATAGTTCTATCTGTGTGTGTTGAAAATAATCTTAAGCAACACTAGTGGTCTGTGCCGAAATCTGCAAGCAGGGGAAGACGGCCGACTCCATCTCCATTCGTGAAACGCCAACATGACCATTCAGAGTCTACGCCAGTGCCGGAGTGAAGGAAGTTTCAGCAACGCCGTATGGCAGATAGTATCAGCAATGGATCTGAAAGTGAAGAAGTGACTGACCCATTCTCAGTTTGAATTACGAGAGGCCATGGCACCCAGACACAGGACATGGTGCCGCATTCAAGCCCTTGTGGGTGAACACACGCAAAGACAAATGCAGCTGACACTGGAATCGCAACACCGCATTAACACTTACTATGTGTTGTTGTCCGAGCTTGAGATCAGATTCAGTAGAAATGACCAAGAAATACTCTGTGCTTTGGGAGATCATGATCTGTCACAGGCAGACGCCTGCTAAACAAGAAAGCTTCCCCCGCATCGCTAAATTTTACAAAACTGGAAGCTGAGCAGAAAATACGCGAACTTTCGCCTTGAGCGCGGGTTCCACTCCGCGACTGTTTGATTTTTTCAGAAATACTGCAGATTATGCATGAGAACGATCTATTTGATATGTTGCTAGAGTTTTCCAACGTGGTGCATATCCTTCTAGTGATACCTGCTACATTGTGTTCTGCAGAACGATCATTCAGTGCGTTGCGCAGATTGAAAACCTACCTCCGCAACAACATGGGGCAACAGCGTGTCAGTAACATCGCACTGATTAACATTGAAAGAAAATATGCCAATTCTGTACCAAACAATGACATGGATCGTATTATTGATAAATTCGGCCGTCGCAATGGCAGGGACAGTTATTTCTTTTGTTGTTTTTTACTTGTAAGGTGATCTATATGATAGATTCATATACAAGAATATTCTCACTGGGATTCAAATGTAAGATAATTTTCGCTCCATATGCAGGCCTATGTTAGTGAATCCTATGACCCTCACTTGTGCTCGATTATTTTGTAAAAATTTGGGCAAGTTGCGAAATTTTTTGGGCAAGTGATTCACCACTCCTCCTCCCCCACCCCCCTCCCCCTCCGCCCCTGGGAAAAGATTGCCCGTACGCCTATGATTGTGCATGTAATTAACACCACTCTTATATCAAAAAACAGCTTTGCTGAGTAAAACTGGGGATATCAGTCTTACAGCTACCCTGAAGGAAGGTTCTAACCACATCTACATTACTTGGCAATAATGATCTACTAGTGTAAAAAAAGACATAATGCGTGTACGATGCGTGTACCTTTGTTGTTGTTCGTGTGCCAACCGTTTTCTACGATGTGGAAAAACGGAATTCGAATGTCCAGTTTCGTTTTTCGCTTACCCACCCCATCGAAAAAGGGAATTCGAGATTCCGTTTTTGTTTTCCGTTTTCCTACTACGTTGAAAATGGAATTCCAAGCTCTATTTTCGTTTTTCGTTTTCACCAAACTTTGGACAACAAAATCCTAATTGTCATTTCCTTTTTTCGTCTTTCGTTTTTGTAAGATATTGAAAAACGGAATTTGAACTTTGGTTTTCGTTTTTCGTGTCTGCGTTTTTGTCACTTTCTATTTTAACTGAACAGGAAGAATGTTGGCACTTCCTGTCGCTAACAACAGACCTGGAAACCAAGGATTGTGTTTTGGCCGGAATAAAATATCCTTGTTGAAGTCTTTGCCCGCCGTTTTCTTATTGAGGAAAATAATAGTTGTGAAGACCTTCTCGAGGAAATCAAGAACCGTTACTAGAATCTAAGGGGCTGTACAGTAGTTTGCTAAGTGGAAAAAGGTTTTTCAGTTTTCATGGTATCAAGAAGAGAAGGACAGTTGCTGATGGAACAGTCGATATCCGGTCAGTGTAAAATGAAGACTGCGGACTGCGGACTGGGGTAAAATGCAGACTGCAGACCAGGTGTAAAATACAGACCGTAGACTTCTTAACTGAGTCGTGTTACTGTTTCCATCACTGAGAGCTACGGTAAACCGGAGCGTTATTTAGGCTAACCTGAGTGATATTTAGGCTAACCGGAACATGAAACTTTCACTACAATTAGCCTGAATAACCCTGTTTCCGGTTAGAAATCGATAATGGAAATACCACCGTCGATATATACTTAAAAAGTCTGTAGTCTGCAGTCTGCAGTCTGCATTTTACTCCTGGTCTCTAGTCCGCAGTCTGCGTTTTACACTAACCGGTCGATACCGAAGTAGAAGATGCCATATCGTAGGTTCGACCCGGAGGGGGGGTACTGCCATATATGAGCTATATAGGTATGTGCCGCTGTGAAGGGTATGGTTTTCAAGCAGTTTACTTTAGGATAGGGTATATAAATCAGAGCGTTTGGGTCTAGAATAGGGTATCATATTTCACAAAACTGATTAGTTGGTTGAAAATTTTATCTAGACTAAGGAAACCACAAATCGCCACTCAAAAAATCGGCAAGTTTAAATTTACGCAAATCAGCCTCAACAGTGTTGATAAATGGGGGGATTTTGGGAGTTTACTCTAGTAAAGGGTAGCAAAATTCAGCTGAACTAGCTCTGGTATAAGCTAAGGGTTCCAGGGTGGGACCTAAATAGCCATTTCATTCCGTGGTTTGTGATAGTATACGCATTAATTTGTGATAGTATGTGCATAATTTCATTTCATTTCATAAGGCTCTCGTTAGCCTGTTTACGGTTAGCTCTCAACTGATGATGGAAACGGTAGCACGATTCAGTTAAGGAGTCTAAAGTCTGCATTTTACCCCTGGTCTGCGGTCTGCATTTTACCCCTGGTCTGCGGTCTGCATTTTACCCCTGGTCTGCGGTCTGCATTTTACCCCTGTCCGTAGTCTCCATTGTGCGGTCTGCAGTCTGCAATCCGCAGTCTCCAGTCTGCATTCCACAGTCTTCAAACACTGACCGGATAAGGACTGTTCCATGACTTCCATCCGCAACTGACCTTCTCTTCTTGATACCATGATAACTACAAAACCTTTTTACACTTAGCAAACTGTGCATTCCCTTAGATTCGGGTAACGGTTCTTGATTAACTCGAGAAAGGTCTTCACAGCTATTATTATCCTCGATAAAAAACGGCGGACAAAGACTTCATCAAGGATATTTCATTCCCGCCAAAACATATCCTTAGTTTCCAGGTCTATTGTCAGCGACAAGAAGTACCAACAGTGCCGGTTTAGGTAAAATACGAAAGTGACAAAAACACAGAAACGAAGAAGGAAATTCGAAGTTCAAATTCCGTTTTTCAATATCTTATGAAAACGAAAGATGAAAAACGAAAATGACAATTAGAATTCTGTTGTCCAAAGTTGTGGGAAAACAAAAACGAAAATAGAAGTTCGAATTCCATTTTCAATGTAGCGGGAAAACAGAAAACGAAAATGGAATTTCGAATTCCCTTTTCCGATGGCGTGGGTAAACGAAAAACGAAACTGGAAGTTCGAATTCCGTTTTCGCGCTCCGCAGGAAAATGGTTGGCACTAAGATAGACGCATTGTTGACTACTCTGGTCAATGAAAGAATGCAGGGAGCAGTTACAGAAAGTGCCACGGAGTGTTCATTATGGTCTCACTTTATCGTGGAAGTCATAGAAAAAATACTAACTATTTTATATACTGTACATAAATTTTGTGGCATTTACAGTGTAATACTTACGATTGTAAACTCTGTAATTGGGGTCATATTCAATGTCCTCCTCAGTAACCACACCCAAGTATTCACCTTTACTGCTGCAGTATGGAACAACAAATTTAACCAACCCACCAGGGTTCTCCAGCACGTCATCTGTCATTAGAAGTTTCGCTTCTGCTCGAAAACTTGTACAATTTTCATCTCTTGGTTTGATCTTTTTCAAGAATGCTTGGAGTCCAGCCAGCTTTATCTGCAACAAAAATTTTAGAATTATTTCAACCATCATGATAACATTAGTCTAATGAACTGGGTATGGCTCTTAGAAGAAACTCTATGTTTTCATAATTATTAAACCTCTTATTCCAAATGCAGTCTTAATAACCAAAAAAAAAATTTTCTCTTGAAATAACTTACTGAATTGTGGGAAGGTAAAATCGCATATTTCAGTGTGAAATAGTGAGCGGTGGTTGTTTTTCTGGAGGTCTTCCCAGCCTGTTTGTTAGGTATATACTGTGATTAATAAATACTTTTTTAATGGCAAAATAAGCCATAATGATATGACGGTGATAAGATGGTGATGATAACAATGATGATGATGATGAGGACTTTAAGTAGAGCACCATACTCCACCAAGATTTTTGGAAGGTACCCCTCCCCCCTTGAGAAAATAAGATGTTAATTACTCGTTTTAGCACCAACCTCATACTGCTCTTTCTCAGGATCATGCTGGCGTTGATCGGGCCACACCGGTCCTGCAGTGGCTCCATGCAAAGAATCTCTTTGATTCTTGCGTGGCGATGGTTTCAATTGTTGACCAAAATCAACAAACAGAACAACTTTATCTCCAATGTCAGCAAAGTTAGAGAAGTGATTTCCTGATGAACACATGCGCACCAAGGGCTTTCTGGGACTGTCTGGCGGTCTGGATTCTGGGGTAGTACAGCAAATTCCCATTTTAATGCCTCTTTCTGGAACTCACAACCTACCAACATCAAGAACAACTTGTTTGCAGTTTGTTACTTCCACTCTGTGATCAGACTAAAATTAAACATTTTAGTGGAAACCAAGCTTAATGCCCTATACCCACAGAGGGATGGATGTACTCCCGGGGGATTCCCATATAAAATGACGGACACCCCAGACAGAAGCTACAACTCCCGCCGAAGCTACAAAGAAATGTATGGAAACAACTCCCGATATGACAGACTCTCGCTATTACGAAATTGCGGACTCTTCATTTGGGCCCAAAATAATTTGTCGTTGTTATAGTCTTGTTTCAATGGCCAACTTGGACGTACCGAATGACAGATTTATTCTGTAGTCTAAAAATGTTAATAGCTAGTTTGTACAGTATTTTGACCTAGAAAGTATGATTACGTATCAAAAGTAAATGTGTTCTATAAATTGAAAGAAACTGGAAATCTTAAAAGAGTACAGCAGCATGCATTATATAAAAATAAAAAATCTGGGTCATTTTTATCACGCCCCGCTATTGGGGACTCTGAGTTGACTATGAAAAGACACAACCATGTGAGCGATCGTGTGGTCCGGCAGTGTTGCGTGACATGTGACCACTCGCAGAACGCAACATTTTAATCATTCCTTCACATATCCCACGCAAGGTTTTAAATTTATAATTCATTGCGTAGCATGATCCATTTGAAGAAAAGTAGTTCAGCAAACCATGAGATTCTACTGTTTAAATCTTGTTTCGCTTTGGCTAGGTCTGGTGTAAAGGGAGCAATTTCAGTTTCATTGCATGCCATGAAAAATACGTGCGTATGAATCGCCTCGCTGGCTTGCGGTTTAGATTTGCGGTTGGGTAATCATGAAATAAACTGCCTAATTATTAACATCTGAACCGATGGTCTGAATGAGATAAACGACAAACAATGAGTGTAATTTTGCTGTGCAAGTTTGCATCCACGATCAGAATTAAACCAAGTTTAAAGTGAAAGAGACTGCCATATACTATTGAATAGAATCACACAGGAAAACATCACAGTACTTACGTCTAACAGATCGAACGTTGGGAACTTACTATCTTTTGAGGAGGATTTAATTTATAGATGGTCTCGATGAAACTATGAAATAAGCAGTTGGTCCGCCTTTTTTCACCTTGAAGGCTACGAGAAATGCTCTTCTTCTCGAATTATAACTTTGATTTCATGCTAACTTTGTGTAAAAATCCACTAGAAATACAAATTCGACAAACCTAAAGTTCGATCTATTGCAGATATGTTGGCGGAAATATTAACTGCTTTGCATGTCGTTACTTTATACGCTTACCTCGAAGAATCTTGCCCGATGTCTGTGAAAAATAATAATAGCAACCTTCCTCTTTGCACTTTGCTAGCTGCACTAAAATGAAGGAAAGAAATTTACGGAGCACGTTTAATACTGCATAGCACTTCACAGGAAAGCAGGAACATATTGGATTACGCATGCAAAGCAGTGAAATTATGCCGCGTGACTGATTCCGGGGAAAAACCGGGAACAACCCAGTAACAGGAATGACAGGAAGCGGAAACCGAAACGAAGTTCAAGGCCAGCAGCATCTTTAATCGCGCATTTTTACAAGAATGTCACCTTGTGAGAGACAACCATTGTATGGGTTAGCATTATTGAGTGTTCTTCTGTAGTTAATGCTGTTCAAACCGACTGATTTGGCTGTCAGCAGATCGTTGCGCGACATTTGCATTGCAACGTCGGGGATTCCCCTAGTTCATTTGGAGACGCAAAGTGCAATGACTCGAATCGGTCAAAAATAGAATTGATCACTAACAAGTCACGAGTTTTTGCTATTGCTATGCTAATCTTGGTTTGCAAGAATGCTTTGTGCCTCTCTTTTAACAAAGCCGGCGATTAGCTGAATGTCTAGATCACTCGAGCAAGCTTTCGGCTGCGTGCGTGACCACCAAATAAGCTAAAATACTACCAGTTTTCATCCCGCCTCTGTTTAGTCTGTTTAATTAGTCTCAAAAATACGCATTGCTCTTTGTCCTGCTAGCAAAACCCGTCTATTATACTTCTTTAACTATATCCTCCTCTCTGGTTTTGGATTGGGACCGCGATGGTCTTTCACCAAACCTGTTTCCTCACTGTCATGCCATCAAACATAAAAGTCCGTTCAATAAGAAAAGTCAAGAATCTGGAATATGATAGATGATTGATACGCAAACAACCTTGGCAAGATTCAGGACTGTTCGGTTTTTCATACGCACTTTTGCTATTCGAATAAATATTTCACTCAAATTTAGAGAGCTTTGTATAGAGACGCAAGGGCACTAGCCTGCAGTGCAGGCGTCTTATTGGGGCGAGTTAGTATTACAACCTTGCGACCGCCGTTTTAGACCGCCATGTTAGACCCCCTTGGTAAAACTTTCTTTCTCTCCCCAGTCTTCCACTGCATGAAAAATTCAAGATGGTGGCTAAACTTTTTACGATGYGAGCGCTCGCTCGAAAAAATCTCGCCTGCTCTGCAGGCTACAAGGGCACCAATATCGCAATCATAAAGTAACAAAAATGTATGTTTTGTTCTTAAAAGTAACATTTATCTCTCTACTTCTCCAACACATTCACATTATCAATACTTCTTGTAATGCAAGGAGTGTACGTTTCGCAAAAACTTTAACGATAAGTCATCTTTTGGCCTACGTGACAGCGGGCCGCCATCTTAATGTCACGCATGCAACAAAACGAGCTCTGTCGAGAGTCTGAGGGGTTTATTTCCGATGAAACTAAAACTCGGAAGAATTGAAAAAATTTTTAATTTTCGACTATGACAACGTCATATGAAAATCCCACGAGAACCACCAATATCTTTGACCAGCATACCAGAAATTCACAGTTACACTCTGTGGATATCCAATGCCAAGTACTTTAGCTGAAAAAATCCCCAGCTACTCAGTGGCGGATCCAGACCTTGAGTTAAGGGGGGGGGGGNGGGGTTTGTTTTACTTGCACTGCCGGTTTTTCTTCCTTCTGTCATTTCTTCTTCTTTTACCCAAAATAAAGGGGTTGGCGGCCCCCCCTGGCCCCTCCCCTAGATCCGCCACCGCTACTCATATTTCTTAACTAACAATAGCTAGCAAAAGAGCTGTGGTAAGCAAATTCGATAAATGCAGAATTTGAAACAATCCGTAGACACAAAGCACTTTTTTTTGATACTATAATCCACAAAGTAGTCATTCCGTAACAATATTGAAACCTTACTGCATAGTTTATAGATGTTTCACTAGATATTTTGCTAAGTAACATTTGGTGGAAACATTTGGCATTCGATTAATCTTAGAAAAAAAAAAACAAACGAGAAAATATGGAAAGCGAAAGTTAGACTTTGCCATCTGTCTTTAGCAAGAGGGTAGGGGTAGGGGAGAATCCTCCTCCTACCCCGCGAGTAAGAAAAGCCTGATACTCAGGCTAGTAAAGTGTCGAGACTGAAAGCGAAATAAAATTTTGTTTCTGAAGCGAAAGTGTTTCTGATTTTTTATTTTCGGAAACACGAGAGTTACATATGCATCTTTCCCAAGAGCGGGAGATATCGTGACTCGTCAATCGAAACACACGCAGTTTCCGTGATGGTTATGTAGATATGAACTTTGGCCAAGCATAAGAATAAGCATAAAAAGAGCTTATGCGCTAGTGGGGACGGCCGCGACATAAGCACAAGCATAAGAATATCAAAACCTTGCGTTCTTCTTATGTTTAGGTTCACACTTGTGAGATAAGCATAACACAAGTAAAATAAGCATAAGCGCGAGCACAAGAAAAAAGGAACATGTTTCTTTTTCTTGTGCTTATGCTTGTGCTTATTTCACTTGTGTTATGCTTGTTTATGCTTATGTCGCTATTGTGTCCAGTGAGGACATGTTGGCAGAAGTATAAGCCTGAGCGTAAGACTATCAGCCAATCAGCGAGCACTTTATGCTTATGTCAACGATGTCCTAACTGAACATTTAAGCGCATAAGCTTCTTATGTTTATGCTCATGCTTGGGTCGCTAATGAGGACAGGGAATAATAGGAAAGAGCACGCAATTTTGTTTAACCGATTTAAAAATGTTAAGAGAGCGAAGTACGATCGGGAAAACTGATTCAACCTACAATTCCAAGATTTCAGTGATGTTCTGATGATACGTTCTATTTTGGTTCGTGCGGGACCCGGGTACGGGAAGACAGACTGAAGCTGGGGTCTTTCGTCACTCATCGAGAGACTAGGCTGACGCCGTGGTTCACTCGACTGTCGCCGTAGCGACTTTGCGAAGCTGACGTTTCGAGTGTCAGCCCGTCGTCAGAGCTAGTGACTTAACTTCGTTTCCAGGGTTTCTGTTCGTCCTGCCCCTGGAGTGCGAAGAAGAGAGACCCTGGGAACGAGGTTGCTAAGTGACTCTGTGGGCTTGTCATGCAATCTCAGGAAGCGTGACGAGCCCAATGGGGTTTCGTTTTACCGCAAACCCAACATTGAAATTTTGAGAAACAACAAAACGTTTTTTAAAAACATGTTTCAACAGAAACTTCTGTCATCTTCAGTTTAAATTACAAAGTGCGCAAAACGCTAATTGACTATAGGAACAAAAGGAAACAAGAAAATGTAAAATATTATAAAGAAAGTTTTAAACCATCAACTTTATCATCTTAATTTAAAACTTTCTTTATAATATTTTACATTTTCTTGTTTCCTTTTGTTCTTATAGTCAATTAACATTTCGCGTACACTATATATTCAACTCTGTACTTTGTAATTTAACCTAAAGATGACAGAAGATTCTGTTGAAACATGTTTTTAAAAAACGTTGTGTTGTTTCGCAACATTTCAACATGTCTGCTACTATCCAGAACTTTTGGCAAACCCAATATTAAGATATCAGAGCTCTCTCTTGCGTGGGCCAGACTTGTATCAAGTCGTCTCTTGTCAGAAAATTGTCAGAAGTGAAAAATAATTGGAAAGAGCATACAGTTTTCGTACGAGAGTCCACTTGGGGGAGGGGATTTTCACTGATGATATATGGTCCATACCAGAAACATTTAATGCCACTCAGTTTTATATTATATTTGAAGCACGCGGTGATTTGACATTTCTTCTCTGAATGTTAAGAAGTTCCATATTTCCAAGGAACTCTGAATCATAATCACTATTTTGTTTTATAAACAATGACGACTTTTTCAGGTACTCCGACCACTTTTATACGAACAAGTCCGAACTTATTCCTAAGGATTGTCCTAAGTTGTTGCTCGAGATAGCAAAAAATGTTAGTTCATAGCACTTCTCAAACTCATGTTTAAACAGTTTGATGATTTGAGAGGACTGGGTGTACAATGAATGCAAAAACAGGAAATCATGACCTGAACGGAGTTTGGATATCTGATCTTAATTAGCACAGATTTTTACGACTTTATTTCTCCGTTTGCTCCTTATTTTTAGCTTGGATTGGGAAGTAATATATCAAACACGAAAGACCATGTTTGACTACATTTCTAAACACCTCGAAGTTCGTCAAAAATACTCCACTGCGCGTCATATTTTCAACTCTCTTCTCGGTGTTTGCAAATGTGGTCAAACACGGTCTTTCGTGTTTGATAAATTACACCGAACATGATGCCGCTGCGAAACTAATGTTTTTCAGTGATAGTTTACCCGATTGCAGCGCAATCCACGGCTAAGAAAAGAAAAGTGCTATGTTTATTTCCAAGGGGTAAAATGTTCTATTCACATCCTGACAACAATCTTTCCAACTGTATGCTGAGACAGTTGCTGCAGCGTGTCACAAGCATCTTCCAGAGATACAGTATGGTGAATGACCGGCCTGAAAGATAACACAGAAATACAACTTATTAAAGCATCATATTCCAGCCTTCTGAACGGCGCAGTATATGCCCGCGAACGTTTAACAAATAGATTCCACGTTGCCGGGCGTCTGTTCAGTAATAGATCACAGAAGACGTCAAAATGTGGCAAGAACAAAAACGTGGCACACGAGACGATAGCCCAACATGTCACTGATGTTCTTTTGCGCCTGCACCCAATTCACTGATGTTGCCTTTGCGCATGCGGCCAATTCGCCGGTAAACAGGCGGTAGTAAAGAATTTGGGTACATAAGGGTATACCGGGAAAGGAAGAAAAACGCAACAAAACAGATAAAACACTGCTTTTTTCGTATTTGAACAAAATGCACATTTTTTGCGTAAGGTAACCTTGGTTTTTCTATACCTTTCTTTGAGCCCTTCATGTTATATTTCAATCAGCTGCAAACCAAGAAGCAAACTTTCTTACAATTTGGAACATTTCTATTATCTATGAAAATTAATCACGGTTATAACAGTGTTTTCTTCTCACCTTATGACTGAGTTGGACAATTTATCCATGATGTCACAGAGGATATCTTTGGTAAGTTAAAGAAGAAAATTAACTGCCCAGGAGCCCATTTCTCGAAGGTCCCGAAAAGTTTTCACAACCGGAACGCCATAGCAAAATCTCGAACCTTATGGTTACAGAGCTGTTTTATTCACATATTCTCACTGTGAACAGAAGTTCCCTTTATACATCAAGTTTCAGGCGTATACACTTCTCCAGTTTTAGATACAGATGAACAAAAACTGGCTTTACGGGCCCGAAAAGTTTCCGGGGTTTTCGAGAAACGGGCCCCAGGTATGTAAAGTCTGTCTTGGAGTTTTCAGAAAAATGGACAATTTAACGAATTGACGTCAGTTTTTCATGCGTCTGTCCTGTTATTAATCGTGAATAGTAGTATATAGGGAATTCGACAAATACCATTTCGCAGAGGCGGCTTTATTTTACCTTATTGCAGCCCCCACATTCAAGTCCGGCCCTCTCAGGCTCGGGCCGGATGAAGCTGGGGGCTGCAAAACGGTTAAATGCAGCCCCCTCTTTGAAATAGTATTTGTCGAATTCCCTATATACTACTCACAACAAAGGAGTGTAAAATATTAGAAATGCGCGAGCCCGCTGTAATACCGCCCGAGTCGCGATGTATAGAACGCCAAACAAGTGTGGGTAGCTGAAGCGGGGCCAGAAAGAAAGCTGCGGAAAGCGCTGTTACGGGGCGTACTGCGGCCAGCACAACTACCAGCTGAAAAAAGGAATGAAAAAGCCAGAGCCCTGCAGAGAATGCGGAGTCGGGCTTCTGTGCGACTACCGTCTCTGCAGCCAGTGCGGGGGAAACACGGTAAAAATGAGGCTTTACCGCAAAAAAGAAAAAGCAAAAAAAGATTTTCAGCGTGTTTTGCTCGAGCTGCAAGAAAGAAACCCGCCAGTTAGAGAAAGGTGACCTGTGTTATATTCAAAGGAGCCCTGTCTTCCAGCATTCAAGAAAGACTGGAAGAAGAACTCGCAAACATTGACCCCGCGGTATTGCGTTATTTCGATGAGCTTCTTGCAGAAAGCCCGCCAGCGGTAAGAAAGGTTGTCCAGAACGTGCTGAACGAACCAATTTCTCAAGAAACGCAGGTGCGTCTGCAAAAGCCTCTTCATCCGAAGCCTTACCAGCCAAGAGCCGCACCACGCCAAAGAAGGCAAAGAGGAGTGCAAGCGCTTCTGAGGGAGTATGACCCCTTCCCTGCGCAGAGAGTTCGAACAGTGACAGACTACCAGAACGAGATTCAAGATCTGTTCGACGATGCAGAGAAAGAAGGGGAAGAGATCACAGGCCGGCGTTTCATTAGATGGCGCTTCATCAGG